GGGCTGTACGGGTGGTCTGAATCACCCTGTATATAATGTACTGTAGTTATATGTATATATATAAACGCGACTTATATTTATATATATAAAAGTCGCGTTTAGTAGAAAGTTTATTTTGTAATTGTTGGAAGTTTTCTTTGTTAAGATACATAGGTCTATTCATCTATAGAATCTGAAAGTATGACCCAAAATCAGCACGAAGAAAGCTTACAACAGTTGCAAAATATAAACGCGGCCAAAGTAATGTTGCGTGTCGACCGTGTCCGCAGTAGCGCGAGCCTTTCTGCCACGCGCATAGTGATCACGTGACTACCATGCTGCCGTGCCGACTGCCGTGTCGTTCTCTTCGGCCTCTAACCTAACCTAACCTCTCGTGCCTTTCGTACGGTACCATACGGTACCATGATTGCCATGCACATGCCACGGATATAAAGTGCTCGTCGCGGACTTAATCCAAGGTAATCCTTTTTATTCTTTTAAAATAATATTATTAAAAACGTAAAATACAACTTTTAAACCTATTTTTGTATAGTTTTCATAATATCTTTAACATACATTTTCTAATTAACAAGAAAATCATGTTCATAAATTTAAGGTTATATTATGTACGATTTCTTATTCCTGGTAGAGGATTGCATTGCATATTCTTATTACATCTGTGACTCTAATCTAAAAACAATTCATTTTTGTTAAATAATATAGAAAACTAAAATTATAGTTATCTTTGGATATAATATATATATTGTATGTGTATGTATATGTCATAGCTAGATTATAAATTTATCCGCGTTATAGAATGGCGAGCTACTTTATAAAACGGCTAAATTTTTACATTATAATCATAGTCTTTGTCTACAGCTGTAAATACGGAGATGGCATGGGGTGAACCTTGTTTTGTGCAGAAAGTTGAAACCCATGTAGAATAGAACAATTATATAGACCTCGTGCTGTCGCTATCGCAGTAAAGCGATTAAGACTAGCCGTTTTATAAAATGACGGATTTTGTAATCTGACTACGACATAAATAATATTTACAAATTTGTATTTTATAAAAACTACTTATAAATGCTATCTAATGTCATTATTACAGTGGCGTTTAGGACGTTCAAAGTCGACGACAGTCAAAGTACAAAGAATTAATTGTTACCATACATATTTTATTTATGTACATGGTATATTGTGTATCAAAGACACAAATCTCAAGTTGGAAGACACAACTCAATTCAGGTAATTACTTTTCTAATATGTACAATGAATATCTTTAATTATTGAACTCTCGCAGTTATATTGAAATCTCAAAATATTTTAGTAAAAAGATCCGTCTTATTTGACCAACATTTTTTCGTCGTTTTATATCAATAATTATTCAGTATAAAAATTCTACAGTTTGTGTATTAGATGTAGTATCCAGGCTTAGTATGGCATGAACGAATAATATCGGACTGTTAGAAATGAGTTTAGAAGCCTGTTGTTCGCGATTCTCGTTAGGAGAGCTCGCTGGACCGCTGCGGTTGGAAGCAGGGCTGAGAGGACTTTTGCGACGAGAGATTCGGGGAACGGATGTACGCGTGGGGGGGTGGAATATCACGTGATCGAGCACTCTGGGCGTTTGAGTAAAATACCGTGTGGTCCGTTTAATAAATATAAAAGCTTACAGTTGAGGAGTCAATGAGCTATCGGGAAGAGAAGTCTCTAATCACTTGCACGGGTCGATTATATTAATCGATAGCCGGCCTCGTGGATGTCGATGCCCGTGAGCCGTGTCCACGCGACGCCGGCGTGCGATGCGTGGTGAGCTTGAGCTGCCGTTGATGCTGTATCTAGAAATGTCCTGGATGATTCGCACTGCTGAGAGTTCACTACGTGTCCGCACTGAGTCTATTTTTCGATGAGAAAATGAGAAGGTGAGAAAGTCCACAAAAGAGCACGTGATAACTATCCGCACTTCAAGACGCGTGTACTACGTACGGTCGCTATGAGACAAAGAGCGCCGGTAACGTACGTGAAGTCGCGCGGTCGCCTCGCGTCGCGATCGGGCATGCGCGAGCAGCGCTCATGCGGCGCTGCACGATCTGACCCGGCTGATGCTGCCATCACGCCGGGGATGAAATAAACGAGATTCAAATTAATCTCGAACATTCCGCCCGCCATCAGCAACGTTGTTGATGATCCCTGATCTTAAGATGAGATTGGCAGGACGGAGAGCTTGATCACTGGTCGGATGAGTGTGGCAGTGGCTGTCTTCAAAATCACCACCCGCACGAGTCCATCCTTCCTAGGATGTAGGGCTGATATCCGGGCTGAATTGCATGGTGGTAGCCGCTCGTCTGTGATGAGCACCAATGATCCGATCTTGATCTCGTTGTTCCTGTGATGCCACTTTGAGATTGCTTGTTGTCGTTGTATGTAATGCGATGACCATTGTGTCCAAAACTGTTGTGCCTTTTGCTGGATGAGTTGCTATCGTGAGAGTCTTGAGATTGCCAGGTCAGTGAGTGATGGCTCTGGTTTGGCGGTGAGAGGACTTCCGACGAGGGAGTGACCTGGCGTGAGTGCTGAGATGTCTTCTGAGTCGTCACTCAATGATTAGAGATGTCGCGAGTTGAGAATTGCCTCAATTTGAGTGAGCAATGTGGTGAGTTCCTCAAAGGTGAGTACGGCTTCTCCAATGGTGCGCCGTAGTTGGAATTTGATTGGTTTCACGACGGCCTCCCATTTTCCTCCCATGTGAGGTGTCGCTGGGGGATTGAATTCCCATCGGTTGTTATCTTGCGAGAGCAGGTGAGAAACTCGCTGATGTTCTTGAGTGCTCTGGATAAAGAGCCGTTTGAGAGCTGCATCCGCGCCGATGAAATTGGTGCCGCAGTCGGAGTGCAAGGTGTGAGCAATGCCGCGTCTGGATGAAAAGCGTCGATAGGCGGCAATGAATCCCTCCGTTGAGTAATCACTAACCGCCTCGAGGTGTACTGCTGAGGTTACGAAGCAGACGTAAACGTAAATCCAGTCTTTAGTGGTCTTGGCACCTCTTCCTTTCCATGTTTTGACGGTGAGTGGCCCTGCGTAGTCCACACTTGTATGAGTGAACGGTCGTGCCTGCGTAACCCGAGAGAGAGGTAGTTGGCCCATCAATTGATGAGCACGGATCTCCCTCTGACGAGCACACGTGACACACCGCAGAATGTGAGACTTGACAGGAGCCCTCCCGCTGAGAATCCAGTATTGTTGTCGGATGTGTGACAGCGTAAGCTGCGTGCCTCCATGTAGAGTCCGTTGATGAGCGTGAGCGATGATCAATGACGACAGCTGAGAGTGACGAGGCAATATTACAGGATGTGTCGCATCGAGTGAGAGAGCTGCGTGAGCGAGTCGTCCGCCGACGCGAATGACTCCTTGAGCGTCGATGTACGCAGTTGATCGGTTGAATGAGTGTGCCTTTGCCAACGGTGAGTCTGCTTGTTGCGCCTTGAGCTCGTGAGAGAAGTGCGTTGCTTGAGCTGCCTGAATCCAGAAGAGCCTCGCTTTCTCCAAGGTCTCTGGAGAGATGTGTCTGACAGGCAATGAGTCGTGGACTTTCCTCAACCGTGAGACGAATCTGAAACAGAGAGCTGTAATCCTCAATAGTTTAGTGAGGCTTGAGTACCTGTAGTTGAGTTCCAATTGATGATCAGTCCTTGGCGTAACCGTCAATAGCGAAACGCCTGGGCGAGCTTCTGTTGCACTCAATTCTTCAGAGAGTGCAGGTTGCGACGGCCATGAGTCTGGGTTGAGTATCCATGGTGGTCCCGTCCACCAAAGTGATTGACCTTGAAGTTGAGCAGTCGTGAGGCCTCGTGATGCGCCATCAGCCGGATTGGAAGTTCCAGGTATGTATCTCCAGTGAGCAGCTGGAGTGAGTCCTTCAATTTGAGCCACCCTGTATCTGACAAAATCCTTCCAGCGTGATGTGTGAGATCTGATCCATGAAAGTGTCACTAGAGATTCCGTCCACATGTGAGTTGCCGTTACGTCCATGTTCAAAGTGGCCTTGACGTATTGCATGAGTCGAGAGAGCAGTAGAGCAGCCGTGAGTTCAGGTCGCGGGATTGAGAGCCGCTTGAGAGGTGCTACCTTAGTCTTGGAGCACACAAGTGAGAATGTGGCGCCGTTTGAGTCGTGAACGGATATGTATATGACTGCAGCCATTGCCAATTGAGAAGCATCAGAGAATCCATGAAGTTCCACTTGCGAGTCGCTCCACGTGTTGAGCCACCGTGGTATTGAGAGCTTGGCCAAGCTTGTGAGTTCTTCTCTGATGATGAGCCACCGGGCTGAGAGCTGGGATGGCAGGGGATCATCCCATTGGAGCTTGTGCAGCCACAGCTCCTGCAAGAGAATTTTGGCCTTGATCACGACAGGTGATGCAAAACCAAGTGGATCGAGTATCTGAACCACTTCAGATAAGACGAGGCGTTTTGTGAGTCTGTCTTCCGAGCGTGAGCTTCGGGTTGAGAATGCAAAAGTATCTTCTTGAGGGAGCCATTTGAGTCCGAGTATCTTGGTTGCGCAATCGTCGAAGGTAATTTGTGAGCCTTGGTCTTCGCTGTCGGTGACAGTCTTGAGTATGTCGAGATGAGTTGCATGCCATTTTGCCAGTGGGAAGCCGCCCGCCATGCAGAGGCTCTTTAGTTGATGTGCGACCTCCTGCCGTGAGTGATAACTGGCACAGCCAGTGGGAAACTATGTCCTTCGTCTTCTGTTAATTGTAACAAGGACCGTAAGGCTGAGAATGGTGCGACCTTCGTCCCGTAAGTGACCGTTGTTGAATGATATGGTACCTCATTGAGCTGATTGTCCATCCAGAGTATCCGCTGTAACTCCCAGTCATCCTTGTGAGTCTGAATCTGTCTGTCCATTCTGGTGATGTCCGTAGCGAACATGTGACGATGTCTACGTATCCATGGTAGAACCTCTGAGATGTTCAGATGTAATTTTGTTCCAGTGTACATGAGGTCGTTGACAGAGTAGCCTGATGTGGATGCGCTGGAGCCATTATAAACGAACCGCAGCTTCGTTGTAGTACTGTCAGGCTTGAGAACACCGTGATGTGGCAGGTGAAAATGTGAGCGATGACTGGAGATGGATGATGCCTTCGTCATGTGGTTGAGCGTCTCGTAATCAACCATGAATTGTTGATAGAGACGTTGATACTTCACATCCCTTGAGAATCGTCTGCGTAATCCCTTCAGATATTGATGAGCGACGTTGTAAGAATCACCCAAAAGATCGTCTGGTGAATTGAGTAGAATTCTGACGATGTACCTCTCTGAAGAATCATGAGAGTGTGTAGTATTGAAGTGCTTCTCGCACCTCTGCTCGTTAGGAGTGAGCTGAGTGACATCGTGAGTAGGCACCTCCTCTTGATTCCAAAATTTCGTCAATAACTCATTAAGAGCATCCTCGTTGAATTGAGTAGCAGCATGATGCGTTGATGTGCGTGTTGCTTCTCTATTAACTGATCCAAGAACGAGCCATCCGAAAATGGTGAGTTGCGCTATCGGCATGAGTGGAGAATGCCTAATGATATTGGGATAATTGATGATTTGCCCGTAAGCGTCTGCTCCGATGAGGATGTCAACAGGCCGCGGGATGAGACAGTCTGGATCGGCAAATGCCAAGTTTTTGAGATGCGGCCATTCTTCCGGTTCTGCTTCGAAACATGGTACGATTGTTGTAACTGTCCGGAGGACATGAACTTGAATTGTGGCAGTTGAGTTGGAAGGTGTCGAGCGTAGCGTGAGTGACACGACTCCTCGTGTCCGAGTACACTCCTTGCCTGCAATTCCATTGACGCCCATACCTGAGTATTGACGAGGGATGTTGAGCTGCCGAATGAGATTCTCCGTGACGAAGGTGAGTTCGGATCCTGCGTCCATGAGTAGACGCGCTGAGCGATGAGTGGTGGATGAGCTGCCACGGCTGTGGCGAGTAGAGTTGAGCAGGATGAGCGGACGCGTGAGCTGGTCTCGACGATTGCACCGTCTCTTCAGTTCGAGGGCGTGACAAACGAACCACAGGTTGATTGAGCGGACGAAGCTGTCAGTGAGTGGCGGAGTACGCCGATGATGCGTCGCGCTTGCATGTGGCACAGCGTTTTCTCCTGATGAGCGTTCCCCGAGAAATGCTCGTGATGAGTGAGCGCAGAGGGCCATGAGACCTCGAAGTAGGTGTTTTCTTTGAGAAACGCCTTGTGCGTCTCCTCAGTTTGAAGCCAGAGCTGATTTACCTCTTCAATAGAAATCTCTGCAGGGGACTCCGGGAGAATTTCTGCGATGGCCTTGAGAGTAGAGATCCGACCCAGCTGCA